CTGTAGTCAGTTATCTAAATATGAATTTATCATCATTATTATATAAAGTCTTTTCTGATTTTAGACGTATAAAACCAATTTACATAATCCGACGAGTGATACTTCAACACCAGATGACACAGCTCGATATATTGCTGAACGTCGAAAGTATAATTTCATTTTAAAGAAAAATGAATGAAATGACATTTCTGCAATTAGATACACTACGAAAAGAAAAAGAAAGTTCCGTGTCTTATGAATAATTCTCTAGACATCCGTTGAACTCTTCTTTTTATGAGGTTTAATTGATTCATGTAATAGAGGAGAAGCTTTAACAGAAAAATGACACCGGTTAGCAACATAAATTATAAAAGTGTCACTATAGTAAGAATAAAGTTAAAGAATTCGATACTTTTTTTCTACTTATGTTAGTTAAATCAGTTACTTGATATATTATTTATTTATAGAAACTATCCAACAACAGACAATATCAATAAGAAAATGAAATCAGATGAAGAACGACAAGAACGTGGTGATGTATTAGAAACTCGTCAATTTGGGTTAGTCATAATAATTGTAACCTATAGTGTGAAAACCTTGTCATAAAATCTTCACTCATTTTTCAGCCACTTAAAGATAGTTGAATTACAGCCAGAAGCAGTTAATTCAAATCAAACTTTTTCGCTTTCTCCGAAGATGTATTCGAAATTTCCTTCCGGGTAACATTGAACAACTACTATCAGATAATTTCAAATAGTGGTTGTGCAGGATACTATTTTGTCCAATTTTGTATTTTGATGGAAACCTATCAAATTCATCATGCTAAATGAGTTTTGGATGGTCCAGGAGAAAACTTTCTAAACGGATTAATCGATTTTGAATCAAGACTATATGCATGTATAAACCCTAATGAGCTATAAGTAATTTGAAATAAGTTTGGACTCTTAAGGTATTCCTACCGAGATATTGCATTTTTACGGTTTTTTTTTATCTCAATGCCGTGTTCTCTCTTAGAAACACATGGAGAATTGAGTTTCAATTTAAAACTTTGCATAAAGATAGACCTTAACAAACATCAATAAATTTGATCTTCATATTTCAGAACATGAAATTAACGAAAAGTTCCAAAACTTTCACAATACATTATACTAATTACGAATTGTGCTTGTACCTTAAAAATGCAGTGTTTCCGTAGCGATTAGCTAAAGGCTCGAACTCTTTTCAGAATATTCATAGCTCATTTGGGTTTATCTGATGCACTCAACTACAACTCAAAAGAGTTTGATTAATTAAGAGACTACCTTCGTTGTTTTTGTAGAACAAAGTTTACTCTACCCAACGCGCTATTTACCTTTGCATCATAGGTTTTAAAACTTTTGTCTATTTAAAAGCAGTTTTTGAAATAGTGATCTTTGGATCAAGGACGGTTTCCATAGAAATTAGATGTTTAATGGAAACGTATAAATGAGATTTCGTTTATTGTAATATCTCATAATAATATTTACCTTGTTATAGAATTTTCTGATAGCTCGTTCAATCTTACCCCACAAAGAAAATTTGCATAGCAAAAAACGCTTATTCTGGCTCTAGCCAATTGTCCGAAAAATGAGCGAATATTTTGTGTTAAGACTTCTTGTGCTCTCGCTAATCATAAACTTCATTAACCAAACTTTTCCATTGTTCAACTAGACGAATGAAAGAACGTAAAACAAACCCAAACAAAACAGATGAGGTATTTATTGAAAAAGTTCTATAGCTGATTTTTTTAATATTATATATAACATACGGTATTTTTATTTAGAGCGAATTAACATTGCCGGTCATTACAACTTCTGCAGTCAATAGTACAAATGCTAGTGCAACGTTACTAGAACGAGTAAATAAAACTATGAAATGATTTTTTAGATGATTTGTGCTTTTTTCTTTGTAGCTTTTAGCACCCGATATTCGTCGTGAACGTAATATGGTACTTCAATGTATCCGTCATATTGTTAATAATAATTTCTTTGGGCTTGATGATAATTGATTTTTGTATTTTCTGGTAATGATCTACGCCGAATTTTGTGACTGATCTTGAATCAAGATACCATATGTAGTTTTGTAGAGCGATTTCTGACACATTCAATGCTTTATAAGAAATCAAGTTTTTCTTTAAGGGGGAACCCCCCCTCCGAAACCTATCTTCTAAACGATACAACAGATTTCGATGAAAATTTCAGGAAATAGAAAAGCTAATGTAACTAGCATCTGATAAAAATTTCAACCAATCATTTTTGATAATTAAGAAGCTATACTCAATTTACTCATGAAAACGGGGGTTTTGGCACGGAACATTTTTCCGATGCGCGGTAGCATGAAAAATGTTGAACTTTGTTTCAAAATGAAGAAAAATCTTTTATCTAGAAATTGTAGGAACAGTTTTTTGAAATTCGTTTTCGTTCCATTGTAGTAATCATTTTAAACCGAAAATCGCAAAAACTGCTTTGAGCACTTTCAAAGATTTTCAAATATCTAAACAATGGAGATATATTTTGAAAATCTGTTCCGACAATTTCTAGAAAAAAGTCTCATCTTTTAAACAAATAAAAATCAGCAGAGTACATCAAGCGGTGAACTGGGAAAATGTTCCGCAATGGTCAGAAAACGATAAAAAAGTGAAGCTGAGAAAAACGAATAACAACATTGCGACGTAGTTGATGATCTTCTTGTAGAGAGAATTCGAGCATATTATATATCACTGAAAAGCGCATAAAAAGTTCTTACAGTTGGTAGTATTTTCAAGAAAAAAATAAGCCGATTTCTTAAGCTAATTTCTGAATCCAAGTTCACTGTAGCGCCATCTTTTCGAAAAATAGCCTAATTTTGAACCTTTCTTATAAGACTGCAACATCCAAAACATGATTACTCGATACGGTAATGGTTTTAGAGTGCTAATAAAGAAGGTAGAACGATATTAGTTACCGATAATTAAGGAAGAAAATCAACAAGACAGCCGATTTTCCATTATAGCGTCCAGTAAACTTGCCAAAATTGGGCAAAATATGTTCCATTCCTATATAGTTTATACATATTCTGAAAGAGGACACTTGGGGCTACAAGAAGATGTGTTTTTCCAAAAATCGACTTTTTCAAGGAAAAATCGACTTTCGAAGGGGGGGTTCCCCCTTAAGCTTTTATGTGTTAAGATTAAGGGATAGACTTATAAATAGTATTGTTCTCAATATGTTCTAAGATAAACTTGTACAAATAGTTTTTTAATTCAATTTGATACGGTCATAGGTATTCTTCAATAGTTATTATCACTGTTTTCTTCATACTTAAAAATGGTACCCGTTTGATTATTATTAAAATATTGTCAACATATCGTTCCCTTCATGTAGGAAAATATGCTACTTGAGAAAACACTCTTCCAAGTTGACAATGAGTCCCAACTGTTCCGAAGAATGTTAAATTTGCAACTTATAGAGCTCGATAGTGTATAATTTTTGAGGAAGTTTCACATTAGTACTCACTTGTTCTGTGGCATAGAATCGAGCACATTGGCATATCATATAGACAAGACCTAAGAAAAGATCCCATTTTTAAGTATAAAGAAAGCAATGATGTAAAGTGTTGCAGAGGACTTATAGCTGTATCGAATTGAGTTTAAAAAAAGATTTTCACAAGTGTATCTTAGAATATTTTGAAAACCAAAATATCTACGAGTTCCATATACATCCCTTAAGGATTGTAGCCAGTGTATCGGCCCTTAGCACATAAAAATTTTCAAGAAATTTGATTTGTTGTACATTGTTTGATGCGCCGTAAGTAAATTGTTCTACATAACCAAATATATAGTATTCTGATTTAAGATAGATCACCAAATCTGGCAGAGCTCATCATTAGATAAGTTCTAAAATAAGATTTCTTTTGTTATTTTAGTTAAAGTGATAAATGATTTGTGATGATGAAAATATGACGTACTGCTATGTTGCAATGATGTTAAATCAGACTATTCTTTACACATCATGGTTTAGTTTTTTTTCTTCTTATTACATTGTTATAATGTCTTTCTGCTTATTGATACATTCTTTTGTACGACTAGTCAGATTAAATTTCATTTTTTTGTTCAGCTGTAAATTAGTTATTCAATATGAATACTTAAAATGGATTCAATTTTATATTGGTTACTGCCTTGTAATTGATATACGAAGTGTTTATCCTGAAAAATTCTAATTCTAATATATAAGACTTGCAGTCAATAATGATTCATCGATTGGAAACAAAACTTTAGTTAAAATAAGAGTAATTTAGATAAATGTAAAATTTTGTGCATGACTCCAGACGTAGAGGTAGGCTATGAATTATTCATTTGAAATTGTGCGCTGAAGATGACTATGAATTTGAGAGACACTTTGTATATTTAAAAGAATAATTAGTTGATAATATATGTGAGTTATTTATATTTGGTAAACTTTATTCCTGTTGACTATATATGGTAAAGTAGAAAGCTATTATTAACATTAACATAATGAAATTCCATTTTCTAATTAGAATTAAAAACGTCAATTTAGTTATTCATCAACACGGAAAAATCATTTTAATTTTGATTGTGCTGTATCTATTCATGATAGGATCAGTCATTTATTTCCTAGTGAATATAAAACAGCATAGACTTCTTAGGAAGTTATTCGTCTACATTGAAAAAAACAAACATGAAATACAACGAAGCCGTCCATGTTTGTATTATAATCAAGCTCTTGAAATGCAATAAGAATATGAATCAGATAATCATTAGTGTATTAAAAAGATTTATGAATATATGGGATTGGTTAATTATAATCGAAGTGATAGAATCATGCTACAAAGAGATGGTTAGAGATTAAACTCAAATCATTTTCATCGACGGATTAGTCTGTTAGAAGTACATATCATGGTTTGGATTTAGTCTATGGTCAGATGGAAAATTCATATTTGGCATTAATAGATTTGAAGAAGAAAGCATGTGTATTTAAAAAAAATTCAGTATATCACCATTTGCTTAGAGCTGGCATATAGGACGAATGAGGTTCATCAAAACAATAAATATTTATCAACGAATTCATTTTAAAATAATATGCAGTATAAAAATAGTATTTGAATGTCTAGAAGAACAAATCATATTGCACTGTTATGAACAGGAGACTTTCTGCTTTTCTCTCGATGCTAAAAGAAAGTCTAGAAAAAAATTGACATAGCTTTTTTGATAATGGAAATATAATATCAAAGTATTCTAGTCAAGAAGGAAGTTGTTGTGTTATTCAGTCGTATAACTTTACTTGTGCTTAATGCTTTTTAGTTTATTAGATGTTGATTGCAAAGAATGAATGTTATTCAGTATAAATGTTATTTATCAGTTGAGCATTAAAACACAATCGTTTTCATACTGACACTATGTTGAATGTAGAATTATAAAATATCTTTGACAATGTTCAAGTACATAAAAAGAGATACTAGAATATAGAAATTATACATTTAACCAAATGCTTTAATCCATTGTCAACAAATTATGAAGTTTTGATCTTTGACAAAGTAATCTTTTGATAACAATTCAAAAACGATGGATATCACTTCTTAGTTTCTTCAAGCACAACAGAAAACGGTAATTGATAAAACTACTAATTATAAACTTGATATAGCATAAGTACTTTTCTTTTTTTTTTTTATTGAACTTAATATTGATCGATTTTATTTTTTACAAAAAAATTTTTTAAATTTTTGAAAGAAAGTTATTATATTAGGAACAATATCCTCAACATTGTGAAAACTATCACAATAAAATTTTATGATGATTAAATATCAAAATATCTTCCTATGTTTTTCATCTGTCAAAACTTTAAGCATTCTATAATTCCTTGTATTTTGAAGGCTCGACTCCATCAAAAAAAGTTAATTTTTGTCAAAAAAATCAAAAATGGAAATAAATACATGAGAAAACAGCTCGACGTTCAATCTTTCATACATCACATGATTCTTTTATTTGACGCCTTCTCTTTACCGTAATTTTTGATGATTTCAGTAATCATTTGCTAGAAAAATATGTTTTTTTTTTGTTGTCTTCTTTGTCTATAGTTTTTCTGGTCGCGTCTCACAGAATTCTCGAAGAAGCTTCATTACAGGCAATTGCTTTTTTTCCTTTAAAAGAGCATGTGCAAGTGCAAAGCCTAACAGAGCCTATTTTTTGAATTAAACTTTTTTATAATTATATAGAAAAAAGCATGCCTATAAGTAAATAACCATTTTTTGGAGAGTTTTTGTACTTGCAATTCTTTTTGCTCGCATAAAAAGTAAGAAATAAAAAAAAAACGCTCTTTCAAGAACTGCAATCTGGCATGCTGTTTCAAAAAAAATTACAGAATGAGAGTCCACAGAGGATTCGAGGTTGGAAAATGAGTTTTTTTGAATTCTTGTGCGTTGAATATCTTTTGAAAGCATCAAGATATAGGACTAAAAATTTTAGCATAGGCTCTCTATCATAGCCCTCATATATTCTGGAAGTTTCATGCGATTTGAAGGTACTTGGTCCAAATCCAATTTTTGAGAGAGCGATGCTTTATATGTATATTTATATAGAAAAATATTTACTTTGTCTGATAACAATTTTTAGATGTTTATCTTATGATTCAAAATTATAATTTTTTGTTCATGTTAATGACACGTGGAACAGGTCATCTGAATCTTATGTTGGTTAGCTTATAAAGCCAAAGTTTCTCTAAACAAACAAACTATGATTCAGTCAAAACAACTAATGCATTCTTTTTCCTCAAAATCATAAGTGATGGCATGTCAAGTGATAAAAACAATGCCTTATTCTTGGTAAGTATTCAGTTCCATTCACAACTACTTCATGATAATATTAATGATCCTTTTGAAACTACTTAACATAACAGCTGCTCTTGTACGAAAAAGAAACCAGAGCTATGATGCACATTAAAATTTTCATTAAAAGAAGAAATGACGAACGAAATTAAAACAAAATGAAATTTCGGTTAACAAAACAGATATTTT